GGGGGGGGGGGGGGTCGGGACCCCCCCCTGAACCCCCTCTAAAACCGCCCACGGGGGGGGGGGGGGGGGGCATATTGGAATATGGTGAATGACCACAAAATCAAAGAACCAGAAAACATATTCCCTCTTTGAACCAACAAAAGAACATTGTTTTAATGAAAAACAAGCACTGTACTTTTCGGATTCGTTTTATCTTTTCGGATTTTTTTCCAATCAGACTTTTCTGTCTCCTTGCTCTGACCGACAAATTTCTCTGCTGAAAAGAAATTAAAATAATTGATCAACCCCCCCCCCAAAAAAAAAAAAAAAAAAAAAACCAATATCATAAAATAATAATTTTGTAATAAGAACCACATAATACATCTCCCCCACACACACACACACCGTCCACCACCAACAAAGTAAGCTCAGTTAAACTGAGACCGATTTCACAGAACTTCAGTTTGAAAATTGGTCGTAACTTTTAAGACCTAAATGTTGGTATTTATTTTATTTGATAACCACCGATTATTTAATCATGGGTTAAAGTAGACTTAAGTTCTTTTATGAAACGGGTTTCTGCTTGAGTTACGCGAATACAACACTTATGGCACTAGCCTGCTTGCTTTTTAACGGTCGAAATGACAAAAATCTAACACCCCATTTCCATAGATTTTTAGATCGAGCTATCCCTGTGGGGAGTCTCACTAGATTACTGTCAGCTTGGCCGGCTTAAGCGTCTGTCCCGCCTACTAAAAGCTGTAGGGGGGTAATTAACTATGGTGCCCGCTCGGCTGACTGCAATTTAGCGTGAACCCCCAGGGAGTTAGGTTGATCTAAATCTTAATCTTTAGATCGATCTAAATCTCTGGGAAAGCACCCTAAAATCAAGAAGGCGGATTGCGAGGTTCAAATTTTTATCAAAATTTACACCTGTTAACAGCGCCTTTGTCAAAATGACAAGTTAAAATAAAGACTTAAATGACCTCGGGTGCTTTTGAATTAGTTTCCCGACCCACGTGTACCTACCTGCATTTATTAGTCACTGAGGTATGGTCGGGTGAAAATACATAATGACGTCAGCACGGTGTTATAATTGAATA